CAGGCTTGGCTAAGCGGGTCTACTGAAAGACAGGCATTTTGTTGTGTTGGTCAAAAACATCAAGCCACAAAGGTGCAACCACCTTTTGTTGAAAAACAAAGAAAGAAGCACCGAAAGAGAGAGACAGCCACCAGTGTTGACAAATCAGGAAGGGTGGCAGCAGGTGTTGACAAAGAGAGTGAGAGCTCACTTTCGGTGATTGACAGAGAGGGGGATTTGAAGCCTATAAAGCCCCCTCCCCTCTCTTCCTCTAAAAAATAGTGCGAGGGGTATCCTTGAAGCAATCCTTGACAGAGCCATTTGAGTGAGAGCAAAAACAAAAGAGAGTCTGCTAAAATTTTGTATGTACGTTGTATTTGAGAGATTGAATATAGTGAAAGCCCCCTCTTGCCGTGTAGATTAATTTGATCGAACCACGTAAATATTGTGTTTGTGATTGTCTCTCTATTCTCTGGTTTAGTGGGTGATTTCCCCAACAAACTGGTATCAGAGCTTCTCGGTTCTAGGACAACTTTCAATCCTACACAATGGCTTCTGTGAAGTTCTCGGTGTCGATCTTTGATGGCCAGAACAATTTCGGCCTATGGAGGATAAAGATGAAGGCTTTGTTGCGACGTGAAGGCACGGTTAAAGCTATCGATGGGAAATACCCAAAAGATATGACTAGTGCCGAGATCGAAGAGATGGACGAAAAGGCTCACAGCGCCTTGCAATTGTCACTATCCGACAATGTGCTTCGTGAAGTTGCCGATGAGGAAACGGCAGCGGGGTTGTGGTCAAAGCTCGAAAGTCTCTACTTGAAGAAATCTCTTACTACGAGATTATACCTGAAGCAGCGACTATACACATTGAAGATGAAAGAAGGTGAGAATCCATAAGTCTTGAGGATGTGAAGGCCTCTTTGAACTCTGCTGAGTTGAGAACAAAGTTGAATGGGAGAGGTACCGATAGGCAGGCTGACGGTCTGCTAGCCAGAGGTAGAATGAAGACCAGAGAGGGTGATAAAGAGCAATCCAGAAATCATTCGAAGTCCAGATCAGCCCAAAACAAGAAACATGTGGAGTGTTTCTACTGTCACAAGAAAGGGCATTACAAGTCAGAATGTTATGCTCTAAAGAAGAAAGACAACCAGCGTGGTGAAACCTCAGATTCAGCTAATACGGCAAAGGCTAATATTGTCGTTGTTGTTGAGACGGTTCTTACAGTATGTCCCTTGGATGGCCGTTCCGATAGAGAATGGATCTTGGATACAGGTACGTCTTTTCATATATGTCCAAATAAAGATTGGTTCACTACTTACAGATCTATAAGTGGTAGATCAGTTTTGATGGGCAACAATGCAGTTTGCAAGACAGTTGGCATTGGTACAGTTCGTATTCGGTGTCATGATGGGATAGTGAGAACTTTATCAGATGTAAGGCACATCCCGGACTTAAAGAAAAATTTGATTTCTTTGGATTCTATTGGGTGTTCTTACACTGGCGAAGGTGGAGCTCTTAGAGTTACTAAGGGTTCATTGGTTGTGATGAAAGGTAGTAAGGTGAACAGTCTTTATGTTCTCCAAGGCAGTACGGTGACAGGCTCTGCAGGTGTGTCTTCTGATGCTGATAGAGACACTACTCAGTTGTGGCACATGCGCTTAGGCCACATGAGTGAGAAGGGAATGACTATTTTGAGTAAACGTGGCTTACTCTGTGGTGATCATACATCATCACTGGATTTCTGTGAGCATTGTGTGTTTGGGAAGCAAACTCGGGTCAGCTTCTCGACTGGCTCACATACGACGAAGGACACTCTCGACTACATCCATTCAGATTTATGGGGACCTGCTCAGGTTCCATCCAAAGGTGGTGCTCTTTATTTTCTAACGTTTATTGATGATTTTTCCAGGAAAGTTTGGGTTTACTTTCTCAGGCGCAAAAGCGAGGTGTTCGAAACTTTCAAGAAGTGGAAAGTACTTGTTGAGAATCAAGCTGGAAAGAAGATTAAACGTCTCCGAACAGATAATGGCTTAGAGTTCTGCAGTGGTGAGTTCAATCAGTTCTGCTCAAATTCTGGGATCGTACGACATCACACGGTCAGTCACACTCCTCAGCAAAACGGGGTGGCAGAACGCATGAATAGAACGTTGATGGAGAGAGCTAGGTGTATGCTCTCAAACTCTGGCTTGGATAAAGGCTTCTGGGCTGAAGCTGTTAACACAGCTTGTTACTTGGTGAATCAGTCTCCTTCTACAGCCATTGAACACAAGACTCCAAATGAGGTATGGTCAGATAAACCAAATGACTATTCAAATTTAAAGGTATTTGGATGTCCTGCTTACTATCATGTTAGAGAGGGTAAGCTTGAGCCTAAAGCTAAGAAATGCATATTTATTGGTTATACTGATGGCGTTAAAGGCTATCGTTTGTGGAGTCTTGAACCTGATTCTCCTAAATTCATTATTAGTAGAGATGTTACTTTTAATGAAAGATATATGCTTGATCATGGGAAGGTTTCTGTTGAGTCTACAGGAAATGTAGAGAAGACCATGGATAAGGTGGAGCTTCAGGTGGAGCTCGAGGGAGAGACGTCTCAAAAGTCGTCTATAAAATTTGCTCCTACAGCTGTAGAAGAACAACATGATTCAGGCTCAGATGCTGATGATGCTGAGACTGAAGAACCTTATTCCATAGCCACTGGCAGAGAGAGGAGACAGATCAAACCTCCTCAAAGATATGCACATGCTGAATTAGTGGCGTATGCTCTCACGACAGCTGACTGAAGCTGTCTCATGTGGAGAATCTGGACGTTGAGCCACGGCTATGACAGAAGAACTCAAGTCACTTTACAAGAATCAGACTTGGGATTTGGTGCAATTACCTAAGGGTAAAAGGGCAATTGGATGCAAGTGGATTTTCAAGAAGAAAGAAGGGATCCCAGGGGTTGAAGATGCTAGATTCAAAGCACGGTTGGTGGCTAAGGGTTATAGACAAAAGGAGGGAATTGACTATGATGAAGTGTTCTCTCCGGTTGTGAAGCATACCTTCATCCGTGTATTGCTTGCCATGGTTGCTCTATTTGATCTGGAGCTTGAGCAGCTTGATTCATCCGTGTATTGCTTGCCATGGTTGCTCTATTTGATCTGGAGCTTGAGCAGCTTGATGTGAAGACTGTAGTTTTACATGGCGAACTTGAGGAGACTATCTACATGTCTTAGCCAGAGGGATACTTCGTAGAAGGTAAAGAAGATCAAGTTTGCAGATTGAAGAAATCTTTGTACGGCCTGAAGCAATCTCCCAGACAGTGGTACAAGAGGTTTGATAATTTTATGCTTAGTCATGGGTACTCAAGAAGTACTTATGATAGTTGTGTGTACTACATGCATCTAGGAGATGATTCTTTTATTTATCTTCTATTATATGTCGATGACATGCTTATTGCTGCTAAGAACATGTCGCAGATTCTTATTTTGAAGAAACAACTCAGTGATGAGTTTGAGATGAAAGATCTTGGTGCAGCAAAGAAGATCTTAGGTATGGAGATCAGGAGGGACAGGAAAGCTGGAACTTTATATCTCTCACAGAAGAGTTATATTGAAAAGGTGCTTGAACGCTTTGGGATGAAGAAGGCCAAGCCCGTTACGACTCCTTTGGCTCCTCACTTTAGGCTCTCGGCTTCAGATTCACCTACAAGTGAGAACGAGAAGAAGGAGATGTCCCGAGTTCCATACTCTAATGCAGTGGGTAGCATTATGTATGCTATGATTTGCACTCGTCCAGACATTGCCCAGGCAGTCAGTGTAGTGAGCAGATACATTGCTCAACCCGGGAAGGCACACTGGGAAGCAGTGAAGTGGATCCTACGGTATCTCAGGGGTACCTCAGATTTGGGTTTAGTTTTTGATAGCAGTATTTTGGGAACCTCAGTTGTAGGTTTTGTGGATTCTGACTATGCAGGTGATCTCGATAAAAGGAGATCTTTGACTGGTTATCTTTTTACTCTTTCTGGCTCAGCTATTAGTTGGAGATCGACTCTACAGTCGACAGTTGCTTTGTCTACTACAGAGGCAGAATATATGGCAGCAGCAGAAGCGGTAAAAGAGGCCATTTGGTTGAGAAATCTCGTGAGGGAGCTTGGACTTCAGTAGGAGGCTAGTTCAGTTGTATTTTGCGACAATCAGAGCGCAATACATCTAAGCAAAAACTCAGCACATCATGAGAGGACAAAGCATATTGATGTCAGATATCATTTTATTCGTGAGGAAACTGTTGAAAGAAATATCACGATGAAAAAGATTGGTACTGCAGATAACCCAGCTGACATGTTGACCAAACCGATCCCGGCCTTCAAGTTCAAGCACTGCTTAAATTTGGGAGGCATTCGCAGTTGTTAGCTAGCCCCGTTTGGGGCATTGTTTGCAAGAGGGGGTTGAGTTTCACTTGTTCTATTATGAAGTATACTCTCACGTTTAGTTTGGTTGGTGTCGGCTCAGTTTTGGGCAAACGTTCGCCGAGGTGGAGATTGTTGGTCAAAAACATCAAGCCACAAAGGTGCAGCCACCTTTTGTTGAAAAACAAAGAAAGAAGCACCGAAAGAGAGAGACAGTCACCATTGTTGACAAATCAGGAAGGGTGACAGCAGGTGTTGACAAAGAGAGTGAGGGCTCACTTTCGGTGATTGACAGAGAGGGGGATTTGAAGCCTATAAAGCCCCCTCCCCTCTCTTCCTCTAAAAAATAGTGCGAGGAGTATCCTTGAAGCAATCCTTGACAGAGCCATTTGAGTGAGAGCAAAAACAAAAGAGAGTCTGCTAAAATTTTGTATGTACGTTGTATTTGAGAGATTGAATATAGTGAAAGCCCCCTCTTGCCGTGGACGTAGATCAATTTGATCGAACCACGTAAATATTGTGTTTGTGATTGTCTCTCTATTCTCTGATTTAGTGGGTGATTTCCCCAACATGTTGATTCTTCAATTGCAGCATTTTTGGTGTGATCATAGTTTTTATTCATTTTATAGGAGTGGTCTTATATTCCAGTTGGTGGATCCTTGCCAAATACTCAGCAGAAAAACCTTGCATTCGGTGCTGCAGCCAGTATGGTACATCCAGCCACTGGTAGGAATTTCCTAGTCATTTCCATTCATTTTTTTCTATGGCCATATTTGAACTTATTAGAACTGATGTAGAAATTAAACAGGTTATTCGGTGGTGAGATCTTTGTCAGAAGCCCCAAGGTATGCTTCTACAATAGCAAACATACTGAAGAAAAGTGACCAATCCAGGCAGAACATTCTCGTTACAAGCGCTCAAAATCCCTCGATGTTAGGTGTGAAGTAAATAAGATTTACAAGTAAATTTAAATCATTTTTTTCTTCATTATTCACTAGTCTTGAGGATCCCTTCCTATAGACAACAAATTTTCACTTGACAGTCTCAAGTGTACAGCCTAGAAGCTGTCTTTGACTTTAAGGCTGGTATCTACTTTATGCAGCATGGACAACATTATGGCCTCAAGAAAGGAAACGTCAACGGGCATTCTTTCTCTTTGGCCTAGCATTAATTATACAGATGGATATTGATGGCATCAGAACATTCTTTCAAACTTTTTTCCGGTTACCAAATTGGTATGTCTTTCTTAACTTTGCTATTCTTTAGTTCTCAAGTTTCTTTTTTGTTTAAAATGCAGATGTAGTTTCATATTTGTAAGAAAATTCATAAATTTTATTTAGAATATTGTAGTTTGAAATATTCAATTTGTGAAGATAATTCCTGTAATCTGTAATGCACTTGTACATATACATATTCAAGCATTACAGAATCAGAGATGCAGTAGGGCTAAATTGAGGACACGCAAACTGTATGTGAAAATATGATAGATGTATTTAGACAGCATTACAGACTCTGAAACCTTTTAGTAGGTATGTTTAGTGCCCACCTTCCATCTTTATAAGAGATGAGGAAGCAAGGGTTAAGTTCCATTATCCACCAAATGAATAATATTAACGGATGTTATCTTGGCATACTTGATCGTCCAGAAGTATTTAGAAAATTTTGCAGTTTAGCTCTAAAAACTACACTGTTCCACTAATACCATTGTTAGAATATAAAAATTTAACCCTCAATTCGCCATAACTTCGGATCTTTGGGACACTCGAGCAACCCGAGTTCGATTCTCACCGGCCATGAATTTAAAGGGGACTTAAAAAATTGATACCGTTGCGTGGGTCTAGGTTTCGGCCCATAAGAAGGGCACCCATGTTAGAATACAAAACTATAACCCTCATGCCTCACCATGACTTCAGACATTTGGTGCGGTGGAAGGGACTTTGATAACCATCATCACGACTCTTTGATGCTAGAAAAGTGTCAACATTGTTAATTGATAGCTGAAGCTTCAAAATTGGAATGAACAGGAACTTTTGAATGCTCACAAATTTCTCAATCTCATGAATGCTACCACATACACATGCTTGCATTATGCACACCGAAATTCCTCAAGCGTGAATGCGCAAACATGCCTAGATGTGTGGGGTGTGTGTATGAGCACACACATGTACACACAAAAGGTGCGCCGCAGTTTCCCACAGTCATGCACATCGCAAATGCACATGTACTGTAAACGTGCATGTGCACATGCAAAGACATAACAGATAAAGTGCCTGGTCTGAACTAATACTTGTTTTCCTATATATCGGCTGTGCTGCAGAAAGCTGATCATGGCCACTGATTCCACTTAATTCATGTTACACTAGCAAAATTATTTTTACATCGCATAATGTATTTAGCTGTAGATATCAATTAATAGCATATATAGATAAATATATTAGGTTAAGCAATTATTAGTTTTAGGAGGAAAAAAACTGTTTATTGATCTTAATAATAACAAGAGGGTGATACCTATTTATACACATACAGTGGCTAAACACGATAAGCACAGATGATTATACGGGATAATCACAATAATTTATTTATGTGGAGGGCATTTAGTATGGTATCAAAGTAACCCGGGTTCAATTCCTATTGACCACACATTTAAAACATATTTTTGTTTTTTTTTAAATTTAAAAATCACATTTGTGTTAAGACTATGAGACTATAACCCTCAACCCTATTGGCAACGCACTTAAAGAGGCATGTTAGAATATAAGACTATAACCTTCATCAACCCTCATCACAACTTTAGAGTTTTGATGGGGAGGGCCTGTTAAGCCATGTGCCTTCTCTTGAGTTCATCATCTACATTGATTTGCAGGATGTGGTGGGGATTCCTTGGCTCGTCCCTCTCCTCAATGGACCTTATATGGTTTGCATTTTACATGTTTGCCATTGCGCCACACAGCATGAGAATGTGCCTCGTCAGACATCTCATGTCCGATCCGACTGGAGCCACTATGGTGAAAACATACCTCACCCTGTAGATCACTGCATATATTGGGAATCGCCTTCCACATCTTAAGTTTTGATCATTGTATATATCTTACCATCAACAAGTTGCATCTATATGTAGCTTTGGATCAGATTGGAGTTCATAGTAAGATATCAATCTCCATATATATATTTGTTAATAGATGTTTAATTTGTGTGTAAATTGCAGATATAATGATGGTGTAATCACTCGCATACCACTGAAAAAACTCTTATGTGTTGATGAGACATCAAAGTATCAGCTATAGTTTCTAAATCATCAATGCTACATATTCTATGCCGGTAGCAACTTGAAGTATTAAGCTTTTATTATCTTGTATCTGGCTATATTTCTTTCAGATAACTCAAAATCAAGAAACTGCGCTATCTTGTTCCTGGTGTAGGAACCTTACTGTTTCCTAGTAATCTTATCAGTTTAAAACATAAAGGGCGGTATTGTATCATTTTCATCCCCAGTCAGCCCAAATGTATCCTTTCAACATGCTATATCATCAAAACATGAAAACATACGAGCCACACCAAAGTTTGCATTGAGGACAATGCAAAAAATTTTAGGTGTTGAGGTGGAAATTAGTTAATTTTTCTCTTTATTTTACATTTTTTGTTGCATTTTTATCATTTTTTTTCCTTTTCCTAAAAAAATATAAAAATATCGTCACTTGCCAAATTGATAGAGTTATGTAATAATTGATTTATTTGATAAATTTTAAATTTTCTAATCTGTTATTTACTCATGTTCACCTTTTATGATAACTCTAAATAAAGTTATTAAGAAATGATTTTCAAAGTAGTATACTTTACTTAAGCCTTAACCTAGATTTTTATTTAAAATAATGGAATGCATGCTTAGCTTAGAGTTAAAAATAATTTTTCAAAGTGGCTTTTAATGGAATGCATGCTTAGCTTAGAGTTAAAAATAATTTTTCAAAGTGGCTTGACTTACATATTTTTCAGAATATAAATAATTTTTCAAAGTGGCTTGACTTACATATTTTTCAGAATATATATACATATACATATAAAAAAATTGCAAAAAGAAGAGTGCGAAAAATGAGCACAAAAAAAAACTCTTAAATTCAAGATAATTCTATCTTATAAAGCCTAAGCTGATCGAGTAATTAAACCCAAAGAGTATTTCCATACTTAATGACCTAAGCCTAATTGGGTTGGGATCCATTGGCCCAAAACTCGTTAAATGATCGCTTAGAAAGCCCGTTAAAGTAGAAAAAAATCACCAATGAAGAAAGAGTTAAAGATAATATAAAAAAAATAAAAAATAAAAAAACTAATAAATGTTTTATATATGTATATATGGTCTTGGAAAATATTTTAGATCAAGCAACTTGAATATTATTTTAAACAAATAGTTAGCATGTCCTTTTTAAAACTTTTAAATTAAATTTCTAAGTTTGGCTTGGTTTTGTATTGATATAATGAGAAGATTTTCTAGGAAATATACCTTAGAGTTATATATAAAAATGTTTTCTTGAGTAATAACTAGCTTCAATTATCAAGTAAATTTAGTTATTTACTAACTTTTTTAATTTGGCAAGTTGATCGAATTTTGTGGATATATTCACTGCAAACCCTCACGAGACTACAACTCGTCCACTAGGGTAACCTAGGGGTTTAAAGGCTTGTTGTATGTGCTAAATACAACCGCGATTCCTGCGAAAGTGAGTTAGGATTTTCTTTTTATTTTCTTTGCTAGAGGACTAGCAAAAGTTTAGGTGTGGGGGGGTATTTGATAATCACATTTTATTATAATTTTATACCCTCATTATCAATTTTTTTATGAATAAATATACCACTAATAATTGTTTTTATCTTTTAATTGCAGGTTAATGAAGAATAAATCTCAAACTCTCATCTCTCAACAAAGGCCCCTTGATTTAACACCAAAGCCCAAAGCCAAAAGCAAAAGAATGAAGCCCATGAAGCCAAATAATTTCTTTCAATATTAAATGAAGCATTGAAGCCCAAAATGTCAAGAAAATGTCTAAAAGTCCAAGCTCAAAAGCCCAAGAAAAATAAATATACCATCAATGAACAAATGAAGAAGTTTTGTGAAAAAGGAAACAAATCATGCAATCTGGATATCTCGGTAATGTTTGGTATTTTGGTCATATCTCTCTCGTATCAACTCGGAATTGGCTGAATAAACATTCTCTGGAAAGCTAAGAACGAGATCTATAACTTTTGTATTTATGACATCTCTGAAATCGGAACATATCATGGACAAATATTCGTACAAAGAAACACGATCTGAATTTCTCTGCTGGAGAAGTAATTATGGGAAGAATTTGAAAGTTAATGAAGAATAAATCTCAAGATCTCTTCTTTCAGCAAAAGCCTATTGAATTAATGAAGAAAACAAGCAAAAAGCCTAAGAATTCAAGCCCAAAAGCTCAAAGGCTAAAAATGATTCCTTAGGGCTTAAGTTTTTATCCAATGGCTCTCATTTATTGTAGTTTACTATAAATAGGGGTAAAGAGTGAGGGGTTGAGGGTGTGAAAATTTTTGTAACTCCTTTTGGAGAGGAGGGCTGCTCTTAATTGAGAAGGCCTTCCAAATTTGCAACTTTTTGTTACAATTAATAAAATAATTTTTTCACCATTTTAAAATTTTCTCTTATTCTCTTTGTTGGATGATGAAGATGGAGATTAATTTGAAGGTTTGTTTTTCTTATTCCTCTTTTATTGCTTATTAGTTTAGATTTATTTTCATGCTTGTAATTAGATTTTATTTTCTTGTTTAAATAGCCAAGATGCTAGAACCCTCTTGTCTTAGATTTATTTCATGCTCATAGATTAGATTTATTTCATGCTTATAGAGTAAATTTATTTTCTTGTATTTTAATTCCTGCAATTTATTTTGTAGTTTAGATTTTGTAATTTATTTTGTAGTTAGATTTTAATTTTTTGCACTATTCATCTTGAGGCTATAACCCTCTTGGGTTTAGTTTTTTTCTTTTTATTTATTTTCACTTTTTTTGATTCGCCTTTAGGCTAGAACCCTCTAGGAAATTACATTTTTTTTAAGAAGTGGATTCAATTCTAGATTACCCATATCTTTAATTAAATCCGCTATCTTTACATTCTTGATTTTTTATTTGTTTCTCGATTTTATTCATTCTTCCTTCTTGCCTTGTTGATCATATTTATTTTTTTACTCACATCCACTCTCAAAAACATTGATTTACACACTATCACTTTCACTCTCATTATCTCTCCACAATCACATTCATTCACTCATCACTCTTATTTGTCACGCACACAACATAAGAACCGATTTTATATTTTCTCCTCCAAAACACCTTCCTTGTGGGATCGATATCTTTATACTATAACTTGACACGGTTGTGCACTTGCAATATATTTTGGTACATAATTATGCTGCATCATCGACAAAGCACGAGTTGTTTCTCTTGGTTTTCTTCCGGTTGTCAATGGTGTGGGATTAAGAATAGTAGATTTGTAGCATGAGTGAGAAAAATGTTGGCTTGCTAATTATGGAATCTGTGTGTTAACCGTTGATTTGATATTGAATACAATATTGTGTTTAGCTCTGTGAAAAATTAGTTGTTCAAGTTTGTGTCGTTATTTTGCATTATTCGGGCTTCTCTTGGCGGTTGTTTGATTTGATCTCTCGAAGCGCATCGGTTTGGTTTTGGTTTCCGCTGCGCACAACAAGTGGTATTAGAGCACAACAGATTTAATATCGAATACAATGTGTTTAGCTCTGTGAAAAATTAGTTCTTGATATCATTTTCAAACCCTGAAACAGAACCTCGATGTATGTCATATTTTTAGAGAGAAGGCGATCGAAGCAGCCCATTCTGATGCAAACTGGGAGGTGTTGTGCTCTAATACCAATTGTTGTTGAAAACCGTGTCGAGGAACCAAACCAAACGCCGATCAAAGAGGGCCAAAACTAACTAAAATCAATGCACAAACAAAACCCCAATTTTAATGTGGTTCGACAAGTTGCCTACGTCCACGGGGCAAGGGGAATAGAGTTTTCACTAATAGAGAAAGTGTACAAACTGAGATTACAAATCACTCGAAGGAACAAACTAATCTCACCAACAAAACTCTTAATCTCTCCAAAATAAAACCCTAATCAAAAGCTCAAAAAATACCTCTTTTTGTGCTCCAAATATCCCTCAATTGATGCTTAATCAAAGCTCAATCAAAGCCTAAACAAAGCCAAAGAAACCCTAAAAACGTGTCTCTATTTATAACAAAACACAATCCCAAACTGATTGAGATTCTAAAAACGAGTCTGCCACACCCTGGGGTGGCAGACACCACACCCATGGTAAACAGGACAGATTCTGCCACACCAGGGTATCGTAGACACCGCACCCATGGCAGACAGGACAGATTCTGCCACACCCATGGAAGACACCACACCAGGGTGTGGTGGGGCATGTTTTGCTTATTCTTCACGTTTTTTCTCAATTCCTTCGTCGTTTTCACAATTCTCCACCTCGGCGAAGTTTTTTCAAAACTGAGCCGACACCAACCAAACCAAATGTCCCACTTGTTACGTCCAGGACGTCGTGGAAACCCTTCACGACAACAGACTCAAACCACAACAAGTCGAGACCCAAATGAGAATACGAACACTCTCCAAACATCGATATCTACTCACCAAATCGGCTGCATCAAAACTGACTGCCTACGTATCATCTTGCCCAAGGAATCAAGCCTTCACATAGTTCACCCAAATGGCCTCTAAAGACCCTCAATCAAATAGAAAACCCAATATCATCAACGGATCTGTAACTGATAGCGGCCCCAAACTGATACAAATCAAACACCTCCATCTGAGGTAAACCAATGGCCGTATCCAAATCATGTCCACCAGCTACAACCGAATCCAAAACTAATCCATCATCTGCATCCGAAATCAAATGATCCCTAACATGTGTCACCTCAGCTAGAATCCCAAATGACGCAGTATGATCTGGAGTATGTGGAATAAGTTCCACCCAACGTAAAGTAGCATCACCCTCCACCTGCTGCGATAACCAAATGACCTGATCAACACTCTCCACCTACTGAGAGTCAAAAGTGATATTCCTGCTCAGAACAAAATTAGAAGCTCCCAAACGATAATCAAATGAGCCTCCGAAACCCAAACGCGCAATCGGATCAAATCTCACATCCTCGATGTGATCAAATGTTGAGTAACAAAATATCTGACGCCAATCTAATCTGAAGCAGCTCCACCAGATCCAATAACTCCTAATGCAGCAGTCGGCGATCTATGACTAATATGACTCAAATATGACAAAACTCCAGAACTAGAATC